TAACCAGGACGTTTTATTAAGGATGCAAAAAGGAAAAGAGTGGAACTACATATAAACAGAATCGAATACCTCGGTCACATGAGAAACAGCGAAAAATATGGGTTGTTGCAATTCTACAAGGAAAAGTAGAAGGAAAACGAGGACCAGCAAAGAATTTTCTAGGTAAAAAAATCTACGTACGTAAATCAACACAACATCAGACATCAATCAATCAGACAAACAGTGTGCAAAATACAGATTGTCATGATGGTCGTCAACATCCGAAATGGATAGACACTACAAGAAAAAGCTGAATCGCCCATCTACTGCATAGGTGATTTTGTGGGGCAAGCTTACCCTTTGGCTGTAACGCAGAACATTTTTTCTGGTTTTTATTCACCGAAGCAGAATTCCTAATGTCTTCTGAAACTGCCCGCCTCCTCCATTCTACACAAGCCACTGGCACTTCTTCCTCAGCAGAACAATAATATCCTACAATTGAGTATATATAGTGTGACTAACTCCAATTCAATCGAATTCGGGACAAGGCTAAAAAAATACCTAAAATCCGGGACTTTTCAGTGAAAATCCGGCCGTTTTTTATTATTTTTTAAACAAGGACTACAATACCATCATTTTATTGATTATTTTGATTGGATTAAGCCATAATTGGTTATAATAATCCAATTTTTGTTAGTTTATGACGTTTCGATTTCCAATCCGAAAATCATTCTTAAAAAAGGAAAAATTAGAAAATCAACTGATGTTGGATCTGTATGTTAATGTAACCTTAATATTTATATTTTAATATATTTAATGCTGGATTGAAATTTCCAGGTGAAATATCTGAAGTTAATGTTTTGGTATATTTATTTTGTTGGCAACAATGAAAGTGGTATCAAAAATTGCACAGAAATAGCTCTGATGCAAACAGGCTTGGCAAGAGATATGCCATGAAAGACACACTTGCATAGCATGGGACTTGCATTGCCTAGATGTAAAGTTGCTTTTACCTGTAAATACCAAAATTAGTATTAGTATTATCGCCGCAGAATGACACTAACTTTCTTGAGATGTTATACTTTTCAAGAATGTTCCTCAAGAGTTGCACATTTCAATATTTTTGTCTTCATGCCTTCTAATGGAACGAAATATCTCACCACAACCGGGAACATCTTTACGTTTCCATGGTTAGATGCATCGGTAATTATACTGAAGTATATTGCGTTGTTCATTGCATCAACCAATTGATTTTCGATGTACGGATCAGACATTTTTAACAATTGCCTCACATTTAGTACGAGCTGACTGAAATTTGCTCAATCCAAAGCAATTCCGAAATATTTTCGATGAGCAATCAGCTGTGCGAAAGTTTTCATTTTCCTTAATCATATATGCCCAAACAACTTCCCGAGCTGCAGTCTCTAAATCAATATTGTTCGATGTTGCTGTTGCTTTGAAAAATTCAGTCAATTTTTTGCTGGTTGCCGCGGAGCTAATACCTCTTTGGTGTTTTTCGCTTTTGATGTGACTCACTACATCCGCTCTACTACCGTGGGCGATTGAAAATTCGGATCTACAAGTATCACATTTTACGTCACTGTTACTTTTTTTTTCAAAAATGGGAATTCTTGCAATGTTTTATTAAAAGTGCAATAGTGCAATATTAATTGTGCAATTCTCTTTTTACTTTCTTGTTCTGGTGCCATATTAACAATAGAATGAAATACTTGAAATAGTTGAAATAGAATTGTTGACAACACCGAAAAAAAAAAACATTTATCAGCAATCACTACATCGTTGAATGCGGCACTCCTCGGTATGCATGATTGATGTGTATACAATACATGAATTGTTATCGTTTTTGAATAATCTTTTCGGAAGAGGATAATTAAAATACAGAAACGAAAGAAAGTGCACAGTTTGAGTTTTCCTATAACAATACTACGATAAAATGCATGCGTTTTGGATGAGGAATTCGTATAACACTCTAGAAATTTTCGACTTTTTTTCGTCTCAACAATTCAATTTGATGTGATTTCTTAGAAGAATAACGTATTTAAAATTTCACAATAGAATTTTACCAAAAAGTTAAAAATTCGGATGGCCCGGAAACTTTGTCCGAGACGCCGGGACACGACTTCGTAATTCGGGCCATGTCACCGGATTTTTCGGGCTAGTTGGCCACACTAAGTATACAGCCATTTCACATCGTTTCTCAAAAGTTCTACACTTAAGAACTTCAATGCCAATGAAAATCCTAATTGCACCTGAGCAAATCCGACCATTTCCCAAGAGCGATTATTGTTTTGTCTTCTAGTCCTCATATTTATTTTCTTGTCTTATAGATTTCATTTTATTCCAGAAGATTATAGTATTTTTGCAATAATCTTAAGTTCTTTTCCAAATTCTTCCCTCGCGCTCATTTTTTTACTCTCATCATTAAGATTTCTTTTCTTTTGATATATTATCTTGTCTTTTTCAATTTTTATTTATACACATGTTTTCCATGCTTGCTTTTTTCTTTTAAATCCTATTTGATAACCCATTAAACCATATTTTACTTTTTTACTTTGTTGACTTATATTCGCTACATGTTGAATTCTTCTAAATTCATCTGATCTGAATGTTGTAAATAAATAGCGTATATCAATCGAACCCTGCAAATTACAGAAAATCCCGTCTACCGTCTCGTCTAAATCCCCAACTACTACAACACTACAATAAGGGCTCGACCATTTTGGTTCCAATGCTAACCTAGTAATCCAGTATATGAATAACTGCCTTGGGAGTCGTTGGTGATTAAACCGATATTTCATAAAAAAAATATATTAACGATTAGATTTTATGCTGTCTTAGATTAAATTCATGATATTGAAACGTATTTTAATAACTTTATGATAAGTTATTGTTACAAACAATTGAACAACACATCAATAAACTTTTGAGATATAACAAATTTAAAAGAATAATTTTCACTAAAAGACAAAAAGACGTTTAATCTCAGCGATTAATCGCTTTTGATAGATTCATTTCATCCAAATGTAGTATAAAACATGCAGTACAAACATTGACGAATTTCCATCTATATATTAATAAAAATGAATACCGAAATGTTTGTACTGCCATTCTTTCAGAACGACTACACCAAATTAGATAATTCTTTTTTTGTTGTTTATTATTTATCAGGAGAAGGTTTATGTAAGACATTTTTCAAAAAACTGTACGGAAAGACCTTATACCCAGTTTTTCTGTCATTTTAGCAATAGATGGCGCCATACTATGACTATGATTAACAAAATACATACATAATTATTGAAGACGTATTATATGTCATCCTCTAATAAAAGCACCTTTATTTATTTTCCTTACTCCATTCTTACATACTCCATCCCCTATGGTACTTCTCATGCATTCTTGTATTTTACCTTTTTTAGTAATAAATTTATTTGTGCATTTGGGAATACAATTATAAACGGAAATGTGACTGGAATAAAAATTTTATTTAAATTAAAATTGTATTTTTAACAAGAATTAGAAATAAAATCACGAGGTACGTATCTTCTTCTTTTAATTTTAGGATTTTACCTTTCCTGAAATATTATCTACCGATGTTCTCGAAGAATATGCTCTAGGTATAAAATGTTGCCTTTTCATAATCGATGAAAGCCACATTAATATCTTTACGTTTGTCGCGGCATTTTTGGAAAAGTACATTTAAGCCAAAATCTGTCTCACTGGTACCCAGCACATTTTTTAATCCAAACTGGTTTCATCTAGGTCTATTTCGTAATGAATAAGGCGAAGAAAAAACTTTTCAATGTGACAGACAATTAATCTGTATTCGTTACATCTTTTTGTAAGCCGTTTCTTCGAAATTGCTGAAAAACAACCATTCCTCGGTTATTTTATCCAGTAGTATATACAGTTACACACCACTGATATGGTCCTCTTGTATAATTTTTAATTTCTAAAAGGACATAGTACGCGAAGAAGAAGCTGGGGTGTAGTCTGGTCCAGTTGCTTTGTTAGATTTTAATGATTTTATTGTATAAAAAAATTCAGATTTTAAAATTTCAGGCCTTTATTTACATTGCTCTCTATGTTTGGCCTGTCATCTTGGAGCAATTTAGTATTAAAATTACTCCGTGTTTCAAATATTTCTTGTTCATTACTGATAACTTTTCCTGCATTATCTACTAGAGTATTAGTGTTTTTCTTATTATACAGGCCAAAAATTTCACGAACTGTTTTCTTTTGCTGCAAACTGAACGTGTCATTCTTCTTTCTGAAGCCACTTTACTTTAGCTGCTCTACACTATGTTCTTCTGTTATCTTGGTCATATGCTCACGAAATAATTTCTATGTTTTCTCAATATTTTCTGTCGCTCTCATTTCTTTCATGTGATTATTGACATCATTTTCTATTTTACTTTTGTTAACATCTAAAATAATCAAATTCTTTTGCTGATGTTTTTTCTCTATTTACTTTAGCCTAACTCTTGCATCGGCGACTAAAGGGTTGTAATTAGATCTAATATCTGCTCCAGGGTATGTCGTATCTCTATTGATAGAGTTCCTAAATTTTTTGTTGATACGAATGGGAGAAAGTGGTGTAGATATTAAAAAACAATTTAATTGGAGTTACTACTGCATTGTCCATAGACACTCAGATGCTTTCATTACTGGCATCCGGAGAGCAGAGAAGAGGGTTCTGAAATTATTAAACCACTTGCAACAATTTCGTCTTCGTTGAGCCAATCGGCATCATCAGGCGATGTGTTATTGTAGCGCACAATGCAGAGAATTGCCCTTTTGCCCACTAGATTCTACCTATTATCATTTGCAAGCAACTCGATATGCAGTCCGCTATTAATTTTTAGATCCGTTTTCATGTTGATATAAGATGATTTTACATCAAGCAGTGTTAAAATGTAAATAAAATTTTATTGAATAGGTTCATTATGTCCCAAATATAAATCCTATTTATAATATGAAATGAAATAAAGAAGATTTGAAATAAAATCAATATAATTTATTAAAAAGCACCTTAGATATTTGCATATTATTAATACTCTATGCTCATATAACTTTACAAGAGTAAAAAAATTAAATCTTCAAAAACAAAACAATTGAACATCAGTTAATTTGTTTTTAGAAATACTACAGGCATTATACACAAAAAATTAAAAACACTGCTAGGTATTTTTGTAATTTACAAAACTGTGTATATCATTTATATCAAATCGTTCAGATTGTAAGAGTTGGCAGTTATTTTTGCAAACGATCAAGGAGTCACTGAAAGAACTTTAATTCATTTATATATATATATATATATATATATATATATATATATATATATATATAGATATATATATATATATATATATATATATATATATATATATATATATATAATAAAAGTCGAAAGTATCGGCATAGCTCACAACAAGGGAAAAAATTATAAAATATGTATATAAGATGGAATGCAACCGTAAATACTTTTTCTTTTTGGGTGTGGTAGTCAAAAAAAAATAGAGCTTTACTAAGGCGTACTATTTATTCTGAATCCAAGCTTTTGGTGGTTTTTTGCCACCTTTATCAAGGTCTACAATGAAAATTACTATGTTGTAACAAATTGAATGATGCAATAAAAAAGCTATAAAAAACTTACCCGAATGTAAGATTCGTGGCATAAACAACAACGTTAAATAACATGATATGTACTGAAATTGCAACTAACCTTGAAAATGTTTCTGTTTAAAAAGACACTTTGAAATTATTAAATACGTTAAAAAGTTAAAAAATAAAATGAAAGACGACGTTAAAACAGTCGTCTTTCATTTTATTTATAGTCAGCTTTTAAGCTTTTATACTTTAATTATACACTTTAAATGTTCATTGGTTTTGTGATCTCTTCTTTGCTATATCTTACTTCTGTACAAAGAAGCTATAGAAGCCTTTTAAAAACACGGTTAAAGAAATGAGTTTTTAGGTTCGGTTAAGACTTCATTTCGAATCAAATACTATCATTCTCAGAAAACAATTTTTTAACTAAGGATCAAGGCTATGTAAAGAAGAAACAGTTAAGTGAGGTAAACCATTAGGCAATATTAAAAAGTAAGCAAAATAATTTCTTAGCTGAATATGAAGATGTGATGGATATATTATTTCTTCTATAATACCAAATGTTGAAGGAAACTCTATTTAAAATAATAGTTTTTTTTTATATTTTGATGGTTCAGAGACTTAAAAAAATATATTTTTTAGCATAAAATCTTCCATATAAAAAACAACTGCCAACTCTTTGAGCAATAAAAAAATTATAACTAAATATAATTTGATATATATATTTTATACAAATTTATCTTTTTTTTTATAAAACCTACAACTTCGACTCTTTCTGACCAAGTCGTGTAACTATCCTATATCAAAGATTCAGTTCTTTCTTCAGATAAATGATCCCTCATCATTTGTACACTGTTCTATCTAATGTAGACCTGCAACTGCAATGCGCATTGCAACAATACTTTGATTCCTGGCATGAAACTGGCGATTTGAGAGAAATCAGGACCAGATACGAGCTGCGTATGTAAATTTAAGCCTTCCGTGTAGTTTCCTGTCTGTACCATCTGGACCAGGTCGTGAAGGGACGCTAGTGTGTTAGGCGAAAGCTGAAATTATGATACAGTGTTAATACAAGTAGAATTTCTTACTAAACTCTTTAAACTTTAGACGTTAGAGATTTAATTTCAATGCATTGTTCCTGCCATCCACTTATACATACTTCGACCTTAATAGGTCTCATCAGAGCGAATTATGCAGAAGCTCTGCAAAACTTGAACAAATGACCTAACTTTAAAGTTTTTAATAGCAACATACAAGAATATGAACAATATGAATATATTCGTTTATTTTTATTTTTATCCCCAATATTCTTTAAGAAATCTGATTCTTTATCTTCTGAAAATCGGATTCTTTAATAAATATGAATTCTCGGATAAACAATTTCAATTTTGCAATAACTGTTTAGCGAAACTTCTTGAAATTTTTATAGATGAATAAATGTGATATTGTCATTAAAAAAAGTTATTAAGAATTTTCAAAAAATCGACTTTTGAAACTATTTTTGCAATAGTTAAGTAACAAATTAATAAAAATAACTTTATAAACTTTTACTTTAAAGGATTTTCTATGCTTTTTCAGTAAAATTGTGACACTTTTCCATATAATTTGCCGGTCTTCAACTTCAAAAATGAAATAGCGATCTTACAAGTACAAAAAAGGGTTTAATCTTTTTCATATTTTATTTATTACATATTATCACCAAATTTATCAAAAGCAGTTGTTAGATACCTGTATCAAACAGTGCCACGAAAAAGGCTTTTAATTTACTAATTTCTCTGGTATATATGAATAACAATCCAACAAACCGAATGTCGTTACAAGAATAATAATTTATAATTTAAACATATTTTAATTATGTCGATGACTTCTGTTAATTGGAAATGAACAAGAGTTTATATTAAATAAGCTACCTTTGAAGCAACAGGTATACATTACCTTTTGATCTCTAAGTGCGTCATACAATAACTCCAATTTTCTGCCTACGTCCTCCAATTTCCTTTTGGTTTGCTAAAAACAATTCAACCTATTAATAAATTATTACTCTTTCATATAAACTGTTTATGTGCCATATCTAACTTTCCCCTTTCACATGATTACTTCCAAATTTCAACAGTTTCTCGCCCATTTCATTAGTGGACTGTCCATATATATGTACTCTATATTATAGCAGAGCAAGAATACAAGGGCATTAAATATGGAACCAGTATTTTGCTAAATAATTAATATCGCAGATTAATATTGGACTTCATTCCAATCAATGAAATATTATGTAAAATACGCTTCAAATTCAATAATATTACCATTATTAATGTCTATGCTCCAAATGTGCCAGCAGACAAACTGGAAAACGTGCCAAATTAAGAAAAGAATCAACGAATATAGAAATTTTGGGTATCATAGTTACGAGCAATAACGATAAAGATTGAGATAATTGACAATGGCAAATTAAAAGATACATGCATAATTTCAGAATTGAATCATATATACCATGGACTAATACCTAAATATATCTACGTGCCACTTCCGTAATGATCATTAGCATTCCGTTAGCATCTTCTTCTTATGGTACCCTATCCAATTAGTGGATGTTGGCGACAATTCTGCCATACTCCTCTCGATCTTGTGTGGCTCTAAAAAGTGCATGGGCATCGAAGTTTGTCCAATCCCTTATGTTTTTAAGCCATGAGTATTTCTTCCTTCCGATGCCTCGTTTTCCTTCCATCTTTCCTTCCATAATAAGCTTTAAGAACTGGTACTTGGAATTTCGAAATATATGACCCAGATAAGCAGTTTTTCTTCGTTTTATGTTTTTCTTTCTTCTTTTTTTGTTAGCATAAAACATATAAAAGAAATAATAAGTGGAATAACGTCAAAGAAAATTTGACGATATTTTATTCAACTCCTTCAATCAGCTTGAGTTTAATTTTCTGCATGCACTCAATTTTACAAAGAAATCAAACAACAAACGAGTCCGTTTCAAGAAAAACAATAGATACAGAAAATCGGAAATCCTTTAAAAATTTTGATCAGCAGCTAAGCGCAGAGGGAGAACAAGAACCACGATACACATTAATGCATCAAAGCATAACAACAAGTAGAACAACAGACAATGTAAGAAAATACATATGTCATAAAGCAGCTAAAGAATAACAAAGCTTCTGTCATAAGGAATACTGCAAAACTAATAAAGAATACAAAGCACGTGGTGGTCGTGTGTATTAAGGTATACTTTTTATACCTTAATACACACGACCACCACGTGCTTTGTATTAAACAGGTATACTAGCCACTCCTGGGTATCTCCACTTCATGGTTTGTTCCAGTTTCACTTTTAATAATAAAGAGTAGATATCTATGGACTAATTAGCAGCATATAAATGCTTTAAGTTATCCCAGAAGCACTTACAAACTAATTTCAATCTCATCAGACTTCCGGCTTAAACTGCGTCCATTTTTTAACTAAACTTAGCTTTTAACATCTTCTCTGATATCTTCGGGGCTTTCTGGATCTCCTCCGACTCCTGAGGTCCCAGATATCTTCACTAAACTACTCAGTACTCACTGCACATCAGTGTTGGGAACAGCGAATAGTTCATTTATACCTTGCTCACTGACTTGCCGTTTAAAGGCACCCGGATGCGGTCATCTCATTTTATTTATACAATTCGGCTGTTTTTGAATCTCTATGGGTTCTCGGATAATTATTTGTTTATGGAAACGGGTGGGGGCTATTGTTTTGGAGATTCTAAAATCAATTTTCTGACCTGTATGAAGATGGTGTTGACCTAGAACTAAAATAGACTCGGAATTGCGAACAGAAATGGAATGTTTCTAAATCCTATTTTGGATTTTACGAATGGTTTGGCCTATGTAAGATCGGGGACAGTCGGCACAAGGAATTTTAGAAACTCCGTGTTTATTTAGAATGTTTTCTTTGACTGATCGGACAAGAGATGCAAGTTTTTTTGGGCGGTACATATTCATTTTTATTTGATAATTTTGACAGTAAACAAAAGCTTTTAGAATGATGAGGATCTATGTCTTTGGGTTGAGATTGAGCAGCAGATTGATGCTCTTACACTATATATACTTCCATCATGGCAAAGGCGTATTGATCTGGAGATCTGGACACAATGACTGAATTAATTTTGGCGATGAGAGTTTGCATGCAAGTAGCGGGGTATGTGCGGGCTTTCGAATGACGAATGTATCGTCAACATTTGGTCCCATGGCAAGGATGTTTTGATACATTTTCAAATCCATATTAATGATACACATCCTACTATCTAGTTCAAAATAGAAACTGGCCATCCAATTCAATCAATCTAATTTCCACCGTCGGCAATCAAACGCCACGTTAGTGATCAAACGCCACGTTAGTGAACCACTTCATCATTGATGGTATAAATGAACCGCCCGTCGTATTAAGCAGCAGTAGTGCAGTGAGTAGTGAACGGTATACTAAAGAGATCTGGGGCTTAGGAGATTGAGCCTGAAAGCTCTGAAAAAGACATCCGACACCACGTCGGATGCTCGGTGTGGTGAAAATCAATGCAGTATGAGCCTGGTGAGTTTATTATTAATTTTTGTAAAAATATTAATCTTGGATACTTTTATGACATTTCTAGAATATATTTCATTCCTATTTTTATTCTCTCAAATGTTTCTGGTCGTTGTGTTATTTCTAGGATGTTCGATTTTTTCTGTCATTGATGTCTGTCGTGTAATTCTAGTTTATTCGAATATCCCAGAGTGTAATCTGCCTCTGGTCGGTATTACTGTTATTCGCCTATTTATTGGTTTCAACGTGCTCTAAAATATGAGTTTTAGTTTAAAACCCATGTTTTAGAGCGTAATTGTATATTATGCCAGATAGATACAATTTTACAGTACAACAATATGAATTACGCACGACAACCAAACTCAACTTGAAAATATCTCGACATCGTAAACGACATAAGAATCTTCGCATTGTAAGCAGAAAAAAAAAGAGATTTAAACTTACTGGATTATTAGCGGCACAACTACACTGATTCTTGAGTTCATCGAACACCGTTTTCATATGTAAGTGTTCTTCTGGTATAGGCGCCTTCTGAATGGGTTGTGGCGTTATCGTCCGAGCTACCTGTTGAATTTCTTGTGGTTGTTGGTGCTGAGCTAAATTTGCCACCACTGCATTTTGGTTAAAACCTCCCGGATTGTACGAGGTAGCAAAGTTGTTTCCTGGTGCCTGGGGTTGGTACATTGTCGGTGGGTTCTAAAAATGAAATTTACTAGTAAATAATTAAACAAGCTGTCATGTTTTTATTCATTGAAAATTCACTCAGGAAACAAGAAGATATTAGTTATAATTAGAGAACGGACTTTATGACAATTGTATGTTTGTTGCATATTTTGCAATATTTGACATATTCTAGCATGTACAAAATATAATTATATTCAGAATTTAATAGGTGTATTGAATATTAAATGCTAATCTAAAAACTAAGTTGCTTGGACTGATCTTCTAAATATTAAAAGGTCATAATAATTGTGTTCTATAAATAATAATTGTTCACTAAATAAATTGTGTAATAGTATATAAAAAAAAATCATAAAATCAATAATGTGTTGTCCATTTTAGATCAATTTTGATAGTAAGTTTCAAGTTACACAACATATTGCTACTGAACTGCATAAAAGAAAAGTCCATCATAATCAATAAAAAAAATAGGACAATCTTTAAAGCAAGCATTTCAAGCTGGAGGTCCCCTTTCAAAAATTACAGAAAAGGACCAAAGAAAGTCCTTTGCGCAAATATTAAGTTATAATGTTTATTTGGACACAATGGAAGATACCAAACAGATTATCAAAAATAATTACATATATTTTTATAGTAGACGAAACTACTGATTCTTGCGGACGACATATTGCAAATTTTCTACTTGTTGACTTGACAGCAAGTAAATCCTATTTGATTGCCTGTAAGCAGATGGACAATACTAAGAATGTTACAATTTTACGGATTGTAAAAGACACTTTGATGCATTTTTTCCCTGAAACTGTACCAACTAATAAAATTTTACTCATGCTGTCAGATGTATATGTTTAAAGCAATCCAACTTAGTAAGTCTACGAATTCGTAAGCGGTATTGTTTCAAGTTTGGAGGCGCATGGAATGCCACTTACTAAATCTGTAATTGGTTGAGAGATTCAAAAAAGAAATAAACAGAGTAAAAGGAAATATTGATGAAATTGTAAAAAAAAATGTAGCGATGTATTTTTAAGAAATTATGGTTATTTACTGTTAATAGACATGACAAAAATTTTAAATCTCAGTGTCGCTGTTAATTTAGATCCTGAATTAATTAGTACCCTAAGGTATACACCAATAACATCGGTAGATGTAGAAAGGTCATATTCGAAATATTAACATATTTTTTTTGTAAAACAATTTTGAAAATCATTTTACTGTAAGCTACAATAGTATTCTGTCATAAAGTAAATGTACGTTATGACGTATTATATGTGTCATATGCGCATATTTTGGAAAATTTTAGTGGATATATGTGTTACATTATGTCTTCTTATTCCGCCACTATTTGTGCTTACATTATTAAGCAAATATTTAACCAACCCTTTTAAATTAATAATTTCCAACACTAGCTTTCATTTACTTTGCAACACACTAGACGTATATACAGAATAGAAAAACAACGATTACAATGTTTAATAATAATAAAAGAATTCCAAATCCAAATAGTTGTAAATAATTGTGTATACTCGGAATCTCGAACTCGTACTTCGCGATCCCAAACAAAAACTAAATCAATGTCGAGCTATAATATAAATTCAGTGGTCAGCAGAAACACACATTCATTATTAATTATTGATCTTCCGACTACTCCTAATTCAATGATATATTACCGTAAGTCACACAAGGAATGCGAAATTGACCACCGGCCACACGAATATTAGTTATCAGGTATCGTGTGGAAATTCAGCTACTCGTCCACAGGAATTAAAACTCAGAAAATTAATTAATATCGTATATGGAACGTTCAACCGTATAAGGCTAAAGACAATATATGCAAAGAAATTGGGAGCCATGATCAAAACAATCAGACAAGAGATGTATTTAGAAAAATGCGATACATAACAAGAGACTTTAAATCCAGAACTTGGGTCATTGAAGACCACACAGGAATCCTGAGAACCAACAGAGAAGATATAGCAGAGACATGGATATTATATTGCCAGAATCTATATAAAGATGATCAAAGTCAGAAACTTGTTCACCAAACTCCTGAAGAAATCCTAATAAAGAGAACCTAACATACTCTAGAATCAGTAAACAAGTATAACAAAGCACCAGGTCCAGATATGATAACAGCAGAAATGCTCAAAGCTACAGAAGAAACCAGAATAAAATTGCTTCACTTGCTTTGTAACTAAATATGGCATTCCAACCAACGGCCTGACGACTGTACAAAATCTACGATACCGACAATACATAAAGAAGGCAGCTACCATAAATTCGACAACTATAGAACCATCTCTCTTATCTCACATGCCAGTAAAATAATGCTACACATGATCAATGAAAGACTCAAAACTTTCCTACTCAGAGAGATACCCCAAGAGCAAACTGGATTTAGCAAAGGTATACATTTGTTTTATAAATTATCATAAACTGTTCGACAGGGTCAAATGGCACCACTTATGGCAGATATTACACGGAGTAGACGTACCACAACACTTAATTTCGCTTGTAACTGAACTATACGAATACGCTAGTAGAACAGTTAAAGTGCTTGACATACCCTCAAACTAACTTCTTCCAGCACATGGTGTAGCCCTTCTTGCAAATAGTCAAGAAGAGTTAATTGATTTCATATGGACTGGTTGAAAACGAAAGTAAATATTTAGTCTGAAGTTAAACATATCAAATTCAAAGATCATGATAGTGTATATACTACATAACAATGATCCACACATAATGATTCACCGGTTTGAGGTTGTGAGCTCATATTTATATATGGGAACATTGATCACAAACACAGGTTCACTACAGGAAGAAATAAAACGTAGATGCAATTTAGCAAAAGTTGCCCTAGGAAAGATGGCCAAAATACGGAAGAACTCAAATTTCACGAACTCTAAAAGTGAAGTTGATAAACTGCTTAATATTCTCAATAGTGACATACGGACGTGAAACTTGGATCTTACGACAAGCAGAAAGGATAAAAATATAGACGCCACAGAAATGTTCTGTTGAAGAAGAATGTTACGAATTCTGTGGACCGACTACAGGACAATAATTCAATTTTAAACGAGCTTAAAGTCAGCAAACGGTTATCCAGCAAAATTCATCTCCAACAATTAAAATACCTTGGACATGTTATGAAAAGAGACACAGAAAATATGGAAAGAATCAATATCCAAGGAAAGGAAGAAGGTCAAAGATCACGAGGAAGATCCCCAAAGAGATGGATCGAACAAATTACAGGAATACGCAAAAGACATATGCATGAGTCAAAAGAAATGGCCAGAGACAGATATCTTTTTAGACTGACAATACACGACATTACGATGACCACTACGCTCCCTCCGGGAGGTCAGAATTGAGAGAGAGAGAGAGAGAGAGAGAGAGAGAGAGAGAGAGAGAGAGAGAGAGAGAGATTAAGTGTTGATTCATAGTGTTGAATTAAATCTAAGTTTTCGGTTCCTTTTTCCGATGTTGGGTAAGTAATCATTTCAATAAAAAACGTAAATCACGTGACTCAAACCAAACATAACAGACATTTGCTCTTCTTACGTACGTATTTCTGGTTCTAAATTGTAATGTACAACCTAGTGTAAAATAAACCGCAAAAGGATTTAACACGGTCAATGTGCATATATACTACACTAAGTACACAAATGGGACAAAATACGATGTCCATAGTGCGATCTCGGGAAACTATTTTAATGCCTATGTAAATGCCGCCTACGATCTAAGAAGACAGTCATCAAAATATTTATACCTATCTCTAACTTCATATTTTTAAATGTATCTGAATGCCATCTATATATCCTGCATTATCCTACCCATTTTTGGACATAAACTTATCCTTATCTCCTCTACTGATCTATATCAAGTGCTGTTGCTATCCAACATGTTTCTAACATCTTAAAGTACCATACGGTAAATACATTAATAACTCTCTAAAAAGAAAGATTCACTCGACACCCCCTTACATTTGATAATAATAAATTAATTTAATACTCTACAGGTAATTTCAAACAGTATCTCATTTTTTGTTTTGCATTTTTTCCTTTAGAAACATAAATATCATAACTTACCTGTGGGTAGAAAGATGGATTATAAGGTTGTGCTATTGGAGGATTCATGTCAGCACTGTATCCATTTGTGGGTATCGGCATGGGTTGAGCTGGTACTTCTCCAAATAACGGATGGGTGATAGGATCAACGACACTCGGTTCAGGTTTTGGCTGAAATCAAATAACTCCCATTACATACTTTCATTTCAATAAATCGTGTAAAATTTTACTTCCTATTGAGCATAAAGATCGAAAAATATAATACGAGATAAAGGTAGTGAAAATAGAAGCAATAAGAGATCACATGAAGAGAATATAATATTCAGAGATTGTTTATGTTATTTTGTAAGTATGACTTCAATTTGGACAGTTAACAAGAAAGAAAATCTAGGAGTAGGAAAGGAAGCTCAAAGAACACATAGTGGGAGACAGATGAAACATATCTCATCATCATCGTTGGCTCGACAATCCTCTGTGGATCTTGGCCTGCACTAAGATTCGTCGCCATTCTTTTCGGTTTTCGGCAACATGTTGCCATCTTCTGATTTTTAATATTCGTAAGTCGGTTTCAACTCCATCTAACCACCTAATTCGCGGTCGGCCTTTGCTTTTTTTTCCTACAGGTGTTCCTGTGGTTAGCTTTTTAGCAATGGTATTTTCTGGCATTCGTATTATGTGTCCAGCCCATCTAAGTCGCTGTGTTTTAATGAAGGTTATGACATCTGGCTCATCAAAGAGCTGATACAATTCAAAATTATATCTTCTGCGCCACTGCCCTTGGTCGTTTACAGCTCCAACTATTTTGCGGAGTATTTTACGCTCAAATATTCCCAAAAGTCTTTCATCTTTCTGCGTTAGAGTCCATGTTTCTGCTCCATATGTAAGGACCGGCCTCAGCAATGTTTTGTATATAATAGTTTTAGTTCTTCTTTGAATGTTTCTTGAGTGGAAATGCTTTTGGAGTCCATAGTATGCCCTATTTGTAAGATTTATTCGTCTTTTGATTTCTTCGCTTGTTTTATTGGTAGCAGTCAATAGCGACCCAAGGCATGTGAAGTTGTCAAAACGTCCAAAGGTATGACTTCCAAAGACTCTTTCTCGTTCCTCATTTGCTATCGGATCCTTTGTAACCAAAATATACTTGGTTTTGTCTTCGTTGATGACTAGACCGACCTGTTTCGCCGCTGTTGCCAATTCTAGGAGATATTGCTCAACATCTCGCTTGCTACGCCCTACTATGTCAATGTCATCAGCATATGCTAAGACTTGTATCGATCTATTGTAAATAGTACCGCCATCCCTAATTCGTGTATCTCAGACTGCCTTTTCTAAGGCAATATTAAATAGGAGGCAAGCCAAAGCATCCCCTTAACTGAGTCCATCCTTTATCTCAAAGGATCTAGAACTCTCTCCCTGTATTCTAACAGTGGCTTCTAAGTTAGACATTGTCATTCTCGTTAGTCGGATAAGTTTCTCTGGTATACCAAACTCATGCATTGATTGGTATAGCACTGTTCTCTTGACACTGTCGTATGCGGCCTTGAAGTAGACGAATAGGTGATGGGTTTCAATATTGAATTCTAATGTTTTCTCGAGAATCTGTCTCATTGAATGAATCTGGTCAATTGTTGATTTTTCTGGAGTGAATGCAGCTTGATATTTACCAACTATGCCCACTTTGTAAACTTGCAGCCTTTCGTAGAGAATATTTGCTAGTATTTTTTAAGCAGTTGTTAACAGGGTTATACCTCTATAGTTGTCACACTGGAGCTGGTCACCTTTTTTATGTAACGGGCATATCATGCCTTGAGACCATTCACAAGGCATGGTCTCATTATGCCAAACAAGAAGTAAAAGCTTATGCAGTGGCTGTAGTAGGGCATCGCCACCATTCTTGTAGAGCTCACTGCAAATTTGATCAACTCCTGGTGATTTATTACTTTTAAGCTTTTTAATGGCTTGGGCAACGTTTTCGATGGTAGGTGGTCTTTCGTTTGGGTTGAAAGGATTAGAATCATTTCGATTTGCTAGGGTGTTATCTACTTCTTCGATATGATGGCCATTAAATTTTGCATCGAAAAATTCAACCCATCTGTTTAGGATTGAGGCCGTATCATTTAGGATGTTTCCTTCTACATCCTTACAGCTCCTTATTCTTGGCTTAAACTCTTTGCGCATTTTGTTTAGATTTTTGTAGAACTTTCGAGTTTCATTTTGATTTCTTAGCCATTCTGTGCTTTCCAACTGCTTTTGCTAAAATTGTCTTTTTTTTCTTCTATATAATCGTTTTTCTTCTCTTCTTAGGGTCCGGTATTCTTCCTTTGCTCTTCTTCTCAGCTTGATTTGTCTTTAGGTATGCCCTGTCTTTGTTATCTGTTGCTTCTTGGCACTCCTTGTCAAACCATTCGTTTTCTTTAACTGGTTTGGTTTTCCCCAATATTTTTGTTGCTTTCTCAGTTATTATGTTTTTACATTTTGTCCACAGTTCCTCTACATTTTCCCCCACCTCCAGGTTCTCCATTTCCTCGTCCATTTGTCTCCTATACTCTCTCGCAAGGGTTTCAATGCGCAGATTATCAACATTAATTCTGTCTTGTTTCGTGTGTTTATCTTTCTTTAGGTTTGATATTCTTCCTCTGATTTTTGCCATTACAAGAAAGTGGTCACTGTCAATGTTTGGGCCTCGGTAACTTCTGACATCTATGAGATCGGAAGAGTGCCTTGCATCTATCAGGATGTGATCTATCTGGTTAATGGTTTCGTTATCAGGGGATTTCCATGTTCCTTTGTGTATCATTTTATGGGGAAATCTTGTTCCTCCTACTATCATGTTTTTAGTACTTGCAAAGTACTATAATAAAACATATCTAGGTAAGTAATTAACAAGCAAGCAAGAAAGAGATGGATTAGTAATTCAATAAACACTTTTAAAATAAAAACGGGATGTGGCACTCCAGGAGTGACCGAGGAGGAGAAGCATAGCATTATTATCGTCTACGCACAGAGCGATAGTTTTCAATTTAATTTAATTCAATTCAACTAGATGCGATTCAATTTTATATTATTTTATATTTTATTTTATGTCCACATAGGATCCACAGAGGATTGTCGAGCCAAAGATGATGATGATGATAATCTAGAAAATGGCTAATTTACGAACGATTTACTATTTACATTTTAGAAATCCGAAATATATTTAAATTTCACAAATTGAAGCCCACTGTATTACAATCTTACAAAATAATTTGTAACATAATAAAGATGTTATGTATATTTAGCGCATAATTCCAATTTCTTGGAGAAATCACCCAAATTTGATAACTTATTTAAACTTAACTATATTTAAATTGTTAATTAAATCTCAAACTTAGACACTCAGTAGTCATTTAAACTGGTTATTGTCTAATCAACAAAAAAAGTGCAATAAAAGTGTAAAACACTGAATGTCAAATGAGTCTTGATGAAATTGAGTAGATAAGGAATCTTATGTTTGACATTATTTATGTTTGGCACAAGCACAAGCATTAAAAATTATGAACACCAAAACTGACAAAGTATACTTCTACCTTTCGCCATAATTTCACTCCAGCATGTCTAGCGCTCATTATTTCATTCTCCATTACATTTGGACTGCTGTTCTGAATAAAAATAGGAATTTCTTTTGTAATATTCTATATGAATACTATAATCCTTAACCATGTTTCAAATTCAATATTTTCAGGAAATATCCCATATTTTTATGTTCCACCGATATATTTAAAAATAATAGAGTAGTACTCGTCAAGACTAGGAATGACTTTCGAAATTTTTCTTGTCAGTGCAGAGAGCAGATAGAGAAAGTATTTGGAGAGAAATAGTATGATGAACTGTAAATTATCTTTACGCGTGTAGCGAGTGATAACTATAAATAAACAAATGTTTATAATAATTATTACTCTGTTAAAAAACAGTAATGTACTGTAATAGAAATAAATTTAGACCAAATAAAAGAAATATATACAGACGTTAGTTGTTGAATATATTTTTCAGTAGGTAGTGACCATTGAACTTTGGGAGTAAAAATAGTAATAAAGGTCAAGGGAAAAAAACCAACATAGAGTAACGTTTTTAATTCATCAAAAGTGTTTTATTTACCTTTAATATATTTGTTTGGGAATGTATGTAGTATTTATTTTCATATTTTACATTTTTCTCACTTATTTTACTGTACTATAATATGGTCTAATTTAATGGTAAATTCTAACTTATTTGTTTTAAAATATATTGTCTATTCAGAGAATCTGACTTTCTCTTTAGTTATTGTGTGTCACAAGCATAGAAACTGTTGTACAGTATCATATTTCTGTGACCATGTAGTTAGAATTATTGCCATTAAAAAAAAAATTGCAATACAATAGAGTGAATTATTGGTATACCCTCGCCCTACGAACCACCTCGAAGCGTGGCTAGGGGGTTTCTGATCATCTCAAGAAATAAACACTACATCACGAGACAGCGAACGAAACGCATCCAGTTTATATCGGTCCTCTATCGAGCCTTGGCGTCCCGGCGTCGCGACGTGTCACCAACGCGACTTCACTGGCTACTAATATACCAAAGGGTAAGGGTAATGTTCTTTGTACAATTAATAGTAATCAGTTAAAGTCAGTTAATTCTCGTAATTTATTCGCAATTAAATATCTGCTATTTTTCACTACTTTTATTTACAGTCAAAATATTGAATATTGAATTTACAGTCAATATATATATATATATATATATATATATATATATATATATATATATATAAACACAAATTTTTTTAATAATTACATAATTAAAAACAATTTGGCGTATGTCAAATAAGGATGACAACGTAGAAGTTCAAATGGTAGTTTGTCAACTTAGATGATGTAAGTGAGTATATTTACTAAAGATGATTAAACACTGCCTGGGGTAATTGCGGAGTGAATGGAGTACCTCTCAATTCACGAATTCACGTAAAAACGAATATTGCTCAAGGAAGTAATGTGCAGCCACGGCACAGGATTGATACTATGAAGATGACCCCGACAAAAATAAGGACAAGCGAAAAATATCCAAAACCCAGATGAGAATTACTATATATGGAATATCAGGTCGCTCAACTCAAGGAACCAAGAAATCATGTAAGTGCTGAAAGAGAAATAAACAGACGTTTGCACTCTACAGGAAACAAAAAAGAAAGGAAAAAGACAATCAGTATGTATAGAGAGTATAACAAAATAGTATGTATAGAGAGTAAATACATATCAGAAGGGATTGTAACAGCAAAGATAAGAATGCAGAAGGAAGATCTGAACACCATATTTCCTAATACCCGGAAATAAGCAAAAATATAACAAGAATGTTAAAAACGAAAATGGAAAACTGATGATGAACTTCTGCACGAATAACGAACTTAGAATAAACAACAAATTTTTTGACCACAAAGATCAACACAAATATACATTCAATAACACCCGTGGACAAAGATCTATGATAGATTATGTTATAACCAACAGAGATATACATCCATCAAAAATAATCGACTTAAGATTCCTCAAAAAGATTCCTAGATAACATAGACCAAGATATGAGAAATATGGAAATACGTGCTTGGCGGAGGAAGACGATGCATAGGAACGACTGGAAAAAAATTCTTGGGGAGGCAAGGGCTCACACAGGGTTCTATCTATCTATCTAATTAGCCTTCTTCGGTCTATCTTTGGACATAGGCCTCCCCAATCCTTTTCCATTCTTCTCTGTCTGTCGCTACAGTCATCCACCTAGAGCCCACATGCTTCTTGATATCATCTGCCATCTCATTTGGGGCCTTCCTCTGCTTCGTTTATATTCCCACGGTCTCCAACTTATAAGAATTGTGTTCCATCGGTCTTCTTTTTGTCTTATATTGTGTCCGGCAAATCTCCATTTCAACCATACAGGGTTGTAAAACCAAAATGATGATGATGAGATACCTCAACCCAGCAGATGTATGTAGCGACCATACCCCAGTATTATGTAAAATAAGAATCATCATGAAATAGTTCAAACCCAAGAGAGCGGCGCCAACACAAACAAAAAATAAGAGTCGAAGGACGAAATACTTATACAGAAAAAGGATATCAGAGAAGATTGCTGAAAATGAAATATTAGAAAACGATAAAATCAAGAAAAGCTGGAAAAACTCAAAAATAACATAATTACGCATTAACAGAATCACTTGGAGAAAAGAAAGTAACAAACACTAACATATCAAAAAAGAAAACCCCATTGTTTAGAGAGGCAGTGAATACAAAATGTGAAGAAAAGAAGAAAGCCGTTTTACAATACAGAACACAACAAACACAGCAGGTATACAACCACTGTAAACGAATCAGAAATGAAACCAATGCTTCAGTTAGACAAATAAAAAGGAAACACTGAAAGAAATATGGAGAATGATCAGAGGACAAAGAAAAGAGATGAACGAACTAATACAAACGAAACACATTCAGAAGGAAACCTAGGCAGACTACTATCGACCCTATTTGCTAAACACCACCAACATTAGAGGTGACGGCAAACGAAGCAATTAATATTGAGGAGGAAGAGTTAAAGGAAGAATTAAGGAAATTAAAAAACAGAAAATCATTAGGAGAGGATAGAATACCGAACGAACTCCTAAATTACGAAGAACTCCTAAGATCAGATCTAACCCAACAACTACTAAAACTAATCAAAAAAATAATAGAACAAAACGGAATTTCTCCAGAATAGAGATCAAGCATCCTAATACCTCTCTTCGAAAAGGGAGACAGAGAAGTGCAAGAGAAATTATTAGAATACATCAAACTGGCATATCTATGTTTCGTAGACCTTAAGAAGGCATTTGACTGAGTCAAATTAAATGATTTTTGTTTTGTTTTGTTTTGGATGTTATCAACTATTGTATGCAAGAGAGATACCTTTAGGAATAATCAAATCGATCGAAAATACCTATCAAAACAATACAATATAAGTAAATTAAAGCTGGCAGTGGGATAAGACAGGGAGATGTCCTGAGTCCTCTATTGTTCCACCTGATTATGGATGAAACAATAAAAAAAAAGTAAGAACTCAAAAAGGATTACAAACGGAGACAAACAACACACAATAATCTGCTATGTAGACGGCGCAATACTACTCTCCCACAGTGAAGATGACTTACAACGTATGCTGAACCAATTTAATATAACCACCAACAAATTTAACATGCTAATTTCCCCAAAAAAGAAAAAATGCATGGTTATAACACCAAATTTACTAAGATGTAAATTGGAGCTGAACGGTCAGATAATAGAATAGGTGATGCAGTTTAAATATCTAGGCATCACATTATCTAGCTACGGAAAGCTCGAAACTGAAGTGAAAGATCAAGTGAGTAGAGCAAACAGAGCCGCAGGTTGCCTGAATGAATCAATATGGAGAAATATCGGGAAAGAAATGAAAGGCAGAATTACCAAAACAGTCATCAGAACCATAATGATATACGGCAGAAACGCGACCCGACAGAGAGAGGACAAAAAGGATGTTAGAAACAGAAGAGATGAAAACACTTTGAAACATTGATAATAAAACACTAAGGGACAAAGCTAAAAGTACAGATATACGACGTAGATACAAGGTGGAGAACATCAAGGACTGGGTAAGAAATAGAAGAGTAGATTGGAACGATCATATATGCGGAAGGACAACAAATAGAGTAGTAAAGACAAGAGACATTTCCATAATAGGAAGAAGATCAGTAGGAAGACCATGAAAGCGATGGAACAACAACTTACTGGGGCACATTTAAAAACAGACAGTCAGTCTAAAAACAATTTGCCTATAAGAGAGGAAAGGTAAAGATGGGAGAGGTCCTGTGTTTTCCTGAAAATTATAGTAGCCTTGACATACAAGTAAAATAACATAATTACGGCATGAAAGCACGGCCAACACCTTGAAAGTGATGATTAAGAAATATCTCGAAGAGATATCAATTTTAATTTTATTGTATTATTGAGTTGATTTTATTACAGCTTTTTTGTATTAAAACTTTTATTCCATATTGAAACTGAGATGAAATTTTCAACCAACCAATGAAATATGCACAGCTTAAAGAGGTGTAAGCTTAAATTCAACAATTTAAAGAATTATCTAGTAAAATAAGTAATCTTTATAATATGTAGTGTTACATTTTACTCCGACGAAATAAATTTTTATCATTATTTTTAATTTCCATATATTTTATGTAGGTACATATATGTATTAAACTATAGTAGATGTAAATGTATAATAAAGATTTTAATTATAAAATATTTAACTTACTTGTTGTTTCAAAGGCTTGTGAAGAGGAGGAGGCGGATCGTTCCATCCTGATGGTGCATTAGGCCTGTAGGGTGTTGGATTCGCTTGTTGTGCGATTTCTGTAGGTGGAGGTGGTAGACTCGATCCTCCGTAGCTCGGTTGGGAAGGTATCAATGGTGTTAGATTGAAACTGGAATTAGAAGAAACTTCGGCTTGATTTAGCATCGAGGAGTTGTTTAGTGGTTGAAGTTGCGACGAATTTACGGATGGTGGTGCGTAGGGGTTAGACTGGAAGGCGTTATTCTGCTGGAAGTAATAAGTTGGGGCTGGATGGTTTGGTGAGCCGTAGGGATTTGAAGACACCGATGGATCTAGTACGTATTTTCTCGATGGTAAGCCTGAGCCACCTACAAAAAAAAGGAGAGTATTTAAATATATAAGATTTAACCAACAAAAATCTGAAACAATTAACCATTGGGTACCAATAATAATAACAAAAGTAAATGACACGAAGGTAGAACAGTACAGTAGAACTGTATATCAGATATGCGGTCTGTTATTAAAAAAATATATTTTCTTTTAATTCTCTATATTCCGCTGATTTTTTGTCAGCTTGTCAGCAAAATATAGAGAATTAAAAGAAAAAAGAGTTTTTTTTTAAATAACAGATCGCATACCAGATACACCAATACAATTTGTTATTTACGTTTCGGTCGGTAATCCTACCAGTTATATATATATATATATATATATATATATATATATATATATATATATATATATATATATATATATATATATATATATATATATATACAGGGTAAGTGGGGAGGAACGCACCAAACTTTAAGACTGTATAATATACGTAAAAATAAGTAAAAATAACTCATATGTTGTTATTCGATTTTCATTTGTTTTCGAGTTATAGTAATAATAATACAAAGTTGTAACTTAACATTAATTTAATGTTAAATGTTCTTATAATAAATTTTCAAAAATACCACCATTGACCTGTAAGCATTTTCTGCTTCGTCTATGAACATTCAACGTTGCTCTTCTGATTGCGTCATGGTTTGCTCTAATTGTGGCTGCAACATTTTTAATGCGTCGAATTAGTGCATCGCGAGTGTCGACTTTTACCTTGTAAACTTCATTTCTAAACCAGCCCCATAAAAAATAGTCTAATGGTGTTAGGTCTGGAGACCTCGGAGGCCAACTAATAGGACCATTGCGACCAATCCAACGCCTTGGAAATTTTGTATTTAAATGTTGCCTGACCTGACGAGCAAAATGTGCAGGAGCTCCATCGTGCTGATAATACATTTGCATTCTGATATTTAGTGGAATGTTCTGTAGGAGTCCTGGCAATTCATTCTGTAAAAAAATTCAAGTACTCCTCTCCTGTAATATATATATATATATATATATATATATATATATATATATATATATATATATATATAAATATGCTGATAATACATTTGCATTCTGATATTTAGTGGAATGTTCTGTAGGAGTCCTGGCAATTCATTCTGTAAAAAATTCAAGTACTCCTCTCCTGTAATATATATATATATATATATATATATATATATATATATATATATATATATAAATATACATATACATACATATATATATATATATATATATATATATATATATATATATATATATATATATATATATATATATATATATATAAGTGGATACACAACAAGCGGAAGGACCAGCAACTAGTATGACCAACTTAGAATCAAGAACCGACATCGACAACCACCTAATAATAAACTATCTACTTACCTTGGTTGGATCCAACACTGGTAGGTCTAGGCGGATGAGAAGGTGGCGCTTGAGGGGCTGGAGAAAACGCTTTTGGTGGTTGAGGGAAACCCTGCGTGGGTTGTGCTTGCCATGGCTGACTATTTATTGTTGGATTAGGCAATCCTGTGTTAAACTTGTTGTTGTAACCTTGAATAAAAAGAAACAGAAAAATTAATACAAATATTTGAGATCCAAAAATCAGTTAATAACACTCAACAAAGAAATTAGATAAGTAAGCATACAGAATCCACTAAAAGGACCTTATAATCCTTTATCTATAAAAAAATAAGATAAAATATTATAAAATAAAATAAAAACAACAAATAATAATCAAGTCGAATCGAATCAAATTGAATCGAATAAAATCGAATGCAGTCGCATGGAATCGAACGGAATTGAATTGAACTGAAACGAATCGAATTCAAATAAAATTAAATTAAATTAATTTACATTAAATTAAAAACCACCGCCTTCGTGCGTAGACCGTAAGAAAGCTATGCTTCCCCTCCTCGGTCACTCCTGGAGTACTACGTCCCTTTTTGCTCATTATTAGCATTTGTGACTATTTCTCAACAAAAAACAATTTAAAAGCACAAGAGCTGTAAAAAAAGTTAAAACTGACTTGGAACAGGTGCAGGTACAGGTGCAGGCTGAGCAGGTGCTCCAAAACTACTTTGTGGTGGTTGAAACGGAGTCGTACTTGTGAAACTATTGTTGGGATAGCTGGAGAAAGAAGTGCGATGACTTCCTCTGCGATTCGGTTGCCTAGGTTCTTGGGCGAGAACTTGCTTTACTCCGAGAGCCACTTGAAGTCGATCGCGTAATGTAGATACTTTTTCATTGGTAGAGTTTCCTAGGTAAGCTATTGCCGTTGATAATTCGCCTTGAGACGCCAATAGAGAAGAGTAGTGCGAGAGAAGGTCTGCCAACGCACCAGATACCTGAAAAAGATAACTGTATATAGGATACATGCATTATACAGTTATTAATAACCGTATCATAAAATACTGTTTAGTTTCAATACAATTGTGTTTACCCAAGTACAGCTCTTTGCGGCAAAGAATATCGTGTAAACTAAAAAATATAAATACAGTGGAACCTCAATTATCCATCTCTCTATTAACCGTCAGGGTCCATACATAAGTTATATTGACTACATAAGTAAACATTTAGTCGTCAATTCATTTTGCTTGAGCATTGTGGTAAGCCATACGAAATTCGTTGAAATGTAAAAGTGCAGTTATGCCACCACATTTTTTTATGAGACAAATATATAAAAAAAATACAAATAAAATTTGAGAGTCTTTTCGATTATCGGTCATACCATTGGTCCGGTGCCCTGAAGGATAATCGAGGTTCCACTGTATAAGTAAATATAAAGTTCTTGAACTGCTAAGTGAATCATAGAGCTTCCGTGAAAACCAGCTTCCAGTTGAGGAAGAGGTAGATAATTCTCTACCATTCCTTGACATGAGAATTGTAAGAAATATAGACAATATGTTGAAAACTAGATGGTTCAGAAAACCCATATGTAGTAATAGATTTATAAGCTATTACTCTAATCATCCAAATAAGATGAAAATGAACCTTATAACAGGATTAAAGGAACGTGTTTTAAAACTTTCTCATCCAGACTATCTACAAGAAGATCTTCATTTGTTAAAAAATATTTTAATTGAAAACTCTTATCCTCCAGGTATGCTACATAGGACGCTTTTTTCTAATTTATTAAATATAAATAACTTAACACCATTTTTTGCTAAATCTCAAAACACTGTATCCAACAATCAAAACATATATTATCATTCACTACCTTTTATACCATCATTGACTCCGATGTCTAGGGACATCGGTTAACCCCAATAATAACACATCTGAGGAAATAAAAAGGCGAATAATAATTGCAAACAGGTGTTATCATGGTCTATCAAAGTACTTAGCTAATAAACGTCTGTCTCAAAAACCTCGTATAAGGCTGTATAGAACACTGATAGTCTCCGTTCTCACATATGGATCAGAGGCATGGACGCTAGTTAAAACAGATGAATCCGCTCTATCGATTTTTGAAAGAAAGGTGCTACGCAAGATATTCGGAGCGGTCTGTGAGAACGGAATATAGACGCGTAGATATAACTTTGAACTGCAGAATATCTACAAGCATACGTTTGGTGGTAAAGATATTACCACTATAATTAAGCGAAACCGCCTGCGGTGGACAGGACATGTAGCCCGGGCCTCTGAATCGAACATGATAAAAAAGATTCTAACAGCGCAACCCGTGGGAATGAGAAGACGGGGTAGACCAAAGCTGAGGTGGATGGATGGGGTAACACAAGATGCTGAGAAGATCGGAGTCGGCAACTGGAAAATGCAAGCAAGAGACAGAACAGAATGGCGTAGAAAGCTTGAGAAGGTCGAGGCCCTCTATTGGCTGTAGCACCAAGATAATGATGATGATGGTGTTCCGAATAAAGTTATTCTCAAGAAGTGTAACAATATGTTACAAAATAAAATAAAAGGGTTTAAACGTGTTGTGTACTACTTTATTTAAGATTTTTAAAATAATTGGGTTTTAAAGAAATCAGCTTATTATGTCTAAACGTTAGGTTACTTTGTACTTCTTGCATGGGACTGAGTTAATCAAGGAGGGCATACTCTACGCCCAGAGTTAAATACCTTTTTTTATTGATGGCTCTAGTGTTCAAGCCTTTTGCTCTTTTGTTTTCTCCTTTCTTCTACACCATCGAAGTGATAAGCATGAAGTAAAAGCATATGAATTTCTGCTAACATCCAAGGTTGCCTCTTTTTCTTGAAGTAGTTTAAAAGATTTCTTTTTCAACAAGGATCGGAGCATCTTGAATTTTCTCCCATTTATGGTCCATATTTACTGTTTCTGCATTGACTTTTTTAAGCTCTCGTTTATGTGCAGTTTTATTCCATCACATGCGTTGTCCTCTTTAAGACTGCTTGTATCCGTAATTTCTTTTACAGTAGAGCTACTTAAAGTCTTTAGAGTTAGCTACTTCAACTCTCATCGATAAAATAATCAAGTTTGTAGTTTATACATATTGTGGAATGGCTATGAACACTCTTAAATAAGACTTGTATATACTTAATAGTTAATACCAAAATACTATTTATTTGGAACACAATCTTACCGTAACTTGCCTTCCTTGCCTTTCAATGGCTTTCTGCAAAAATGTCACCAATTCTATAAGCTCTTGCAGATTATCCGTAGACTTTAAAGCATTGTCACTCCAGCTTGATACAAGTTTTTCGAAACTACCAGCACAGATATAGCACAACTGAGCATCATTAGCTAATTTAGGATCATTATGGCTTTCTTCTTCTAGCCTATTGCCCAACTGTTCTAAAAAATAAAAAAGAAAAACAGAAGTTGTCTTGATTTCATAATGAGATGGTCTTACCACAAAGTCCGGGAAGATCTTCATCTGAAGCGTGGGTGAGGATAGCAGCTAAGGCTTCTTTCCAGTTACTAATATCACAGTTATTAATAATTAGGCTACAATCCTCGGAAACGATGGCAGATATAAGAGTAGAAACATATCCACTCGATTGTTCTAAATATTTTAATTGTGTTTTTGCTAATAAATCGGGACCACCTAAAAATACAAAAATGGTAAATGTTGAAAGTATGTGGATTGTAAATTAACAATACTAAAATACCGTTAAAGTTAAATTTAAATTTTAGTCATTCCGTTTTTATGGCATTTTGGTGAAACATTAGTTATATACAAATCTTAAACGCTTTTAAGTAAAGTTGATATCTTTATAAAGATATTTCGAAAAATTCTTCGCGTGGATCCTAAGTTAACGCAATTTTAGTTAAAACTTCAAAACGCTGAAAATATTTGTGAATATGTACCCCAAAAATATGCTTGGTATGAAAAAAATTGGCTAACCACTTAGAGAGGGGGAGAGAGAAAGCAACTGGAAGGACAGCGGATCCTTACGAAAGAAAGGTTACGATTTTAACTTGTACGATTATCCATGTTGTTGCTTGCTCCCCTTCTGTGGTCACTCCTGGTATATGAGTTGATCTCGCTCCTTCACGCTATGTTCTATTCAGCACACTCTAAAGAACCTTAAATATCCTTAATAGGTGGTGCGATAGGGAAAAACTCTGTGCCAATCCTAGTAAAACAGTAGTAATCAGTTTGACAAGGAGACAAAACCTACATAACATTTGGATGCCCACTCTGTATGGAGAAATTATCAAAGATTCGAATGGGGTCACATATCCAGGAGTAATACTAAATAAGCGGCTTACATGGAACGCCCATTTTCAAAGAATAACCAACAAATCAAAGCTTTCCACTTGTGCATGTCGAAGGATATGTGGGAAAACGTGGGTTGTGAAACCCAAACCAACAGGTTAAACAATTTTCAAAAAAACGAAATTTTTTTACATAAATTGCTAAAAAATACTCTTAGAGCGGGCCGGGTAACGGCAACTGTTTACTTAAATGGGCTTTTCTCGAAACAACGTTTTTTCAATTGAGTGTCACTCGTATTTCGAAACTATTGAACTTAGACTGAAAGATGAGCCGAACGGCATTTTACTCTTTAGATGTCTCTCTATGGTCGGTACTGCAACCAAAAATATTCATTCTTATTTAAAAAAGTTATAAACAATTAAAAGTGCAAAAAGGATCGAACAATTCAAGTTTGTCATTGTGTTTTTTCGGTGAAAATGTTTCATTGTAGTACCGACCATAACTAATTCGAAAAAAAAAACAAGTAATTTAATGGATGTACTTTCACTTATCAAAAGTTTGATTTTAATATATCTTTTGTATCATAAATAAAATTTATAAAAAGCAGGGTTTTTGGAGGAACCTGGCCTTAATCATAACAGGAGTGATGGCGGCTACCTTAAACGCCTTTATTGAGGTCGTACTTGATCTCCTTCCATTACGTATATGGATAGAGGAGGTGAAGGTAGGAGCATGTAAAAGGTGGATAAGACACCAGGAAGTAGGGAGAAACGATACCGGGATCAAATCTGGAGAGATAATTAAAAATTCACCCAGAGTTGGAAATGGTACCAGATGCAATAATTTCGAAAAGCGGTTTACAGCCCACTTTCCAGGAAGGAACGGATGGGAGTCGAATAAAACTAATCTCATTATGGCAGATTAATGCTTATGGCTCTAAAACCGATGAAATAGTTGGAGGTGGAGTATATGGAGGGAAACCAAGGGTAAGCCTTAGTGAAAGCCTAGGAAATTACTCCACTACCTTCCAAGCAGAAAATAAAGCTATAGAGGTGTGCCTCTAATGAAGAAACTAATGAAGAGTAAGTGCAGGAATAGATCTATAAAAATTATATCGGATGGCCAGGCGGCATTAAAGACACTGGAATCGAATAGGATCGACTCCAAGTTAGTTTGTAATTGTCTTCAGAATGTGATTCGGATCAGACAAAGCAACAAATAAGTAAGTTTACTGTCGATGTCTGGACTACTGGTATTGAAGGGAACGAAAAAGCGAAACTACTTGCTAGGAAAGGGACAAAAGAAACATTCATAGGCCCAGAACTTTTCATTGGCATAGCTAGATGCAAGGTCAAAAGAACAATATCCGACTGAGTGGAACGGTTGAAATGTATCCTCTGCACTGACCTAAACCTTCGAAGAGTGTAACATTGTTTTTATAATTAAAATATTAAATAATTGTTAATCCCTTTACCCCTGTTGCTAATACGCTCATGGTCGTATTCGCAAATAGCTTGTTAAATTTTATTGGAACCTACCGACTTCTCAGATTGCGAAAGAATCTACATATTAAAAGACGCCGGGTTGTTCAATCCTAAGTTAATCATCTTTCGGTTTCAGGCGGGTTGTGTTTGAAGTTTGGTAAACAAAGTCGTAAAAAGTATTTTATATTTTTTCTGTAAGAACCTAATCCAAAAGATTATATATCTCCTCACGTTTCATCTCGATATTTCGTATGTCGTTAGTGTCACCTCGGGGTAATTAATAAGGGTCTAAGCACCTTCTGTACCACCGTGTGCTCTGTAGAGAGCTTCGAAAACATCAACGATAGCTCCTCTACTTAGAGACTAGACTAACTAGTCGCGTCCGAGAACATTAGAACCTTTTTATCTTCCTAGAAATGCATAGTTGGAAAATATGGTCTTGGTCAGAGAAACGACAGAGGGGACAGATTGATACAGTACTGTCAAGACAAAGATCTAGTCATAACGAATACCTGGTATAAGTTACCACCCAGGAGGCTTTACACATGGAAGTCGCCTTTAGACGGACATCAGGGCATTATAAGGAACCAAATAGATTATGTGACAATTAATAGAAGGTACAGGAATGCTATTACTAAGGTATCTGCATTACCTGGAGCAGACATAGGATCCGACCACAATCCCTTAGTAGCAAATATCAAACTGAGGCTCGCTACAGCTAAAAGAAAACACCAGAAGGCATCAGTAAACATTAGAAAACTCAAAAACAATGAAACAAATAAAGCGTACACAGAAGAAATAAACAATAGGTTCTCTAATATGGCAACTGAGAATGATGTTGAAAAGTCATGGACCACCATAAAAGAATCATTTGATGAGTTGAACAACACTTTTCTACTCGAGAGTAAAACAACTACCAAGAATGAGTGGATGACAGAAGAAATATTAGAGATGATGGAACAACGCAGGCAGTGTAAGATCAGGCAGGACGAAGTAGGGTACCGAAATATACACAGTCAAATTCGTAAAGAAATTATAGCGGCGAAGGAGATCTGGATGACTACACTTTGCGCCGAGGCTGAAAGCCTATATAAACTCGGCGACAGCTTCAATCTTCACAAGAAAATTAAGGAAATTGCTGGTGTCTTCAAGAAAAAACAAGTCACTGGTATACATAATGACCAAAATGAATTAATAACGGACCCTAGCGATATACTTAATACTTGGAAAATGTACACAGCCAATTTGTTCAATGATGACAGAACACAAAAACCACCACAACTGGGAGACCATTTGTATGGCCCAAGCATTTTGAAAGCTGAAATTGTACACGCTATCAAACTATTAAAAAGTAACAAAACCCCAGGACCAGATGATATGTACGCAGAAACAATCAAGTTACTTAATGAAGAAAACCTAGACATTATTGTCAAGCTCTTTAACGACATCTACGATACGGGCCAGATTCCAAAAGATTGGCTTCGATCTACATTTATTGCCCTACCAAAAACACCACGTGCGAACTTCTGCAAGGACCACCGACTAATAAGCCTAATGAGTCACTTTTTAAAACTTTTCCTGAGAATACTTCACACTAGATTGTTTAAGAAATGTGAAGAGGTCAGTGGATGGAGTCAGTTTGGTTTCAAAAATGGACTTGGCACGAGAGAAGCGATCTTTAGTATGCAAACATTGATACAGAATTGTTTAGATCAAAGAAAGGATGTTTTTATCTGTTTCATCGATTACGAGAAAGCATTCGATAATGTAAAACATGAATTGATGATAAAATACCTACAAGAATTGGGATTGGATGCAAAGGATATAAGAATCATCGCCAATCTGTATTGGAATCAGACAGCAACAGTACGTCTTCAAAATTTCAACGAAACAGAAGATTTCTCCATTAAAAAAGGAGTAAGGCAAGGTTGTATACTGTCCCCAATGCTGTTCAATTTATACGTAGAAAAAGCCTTCGCAGAAGCAGTAGAAGACTCTAATAAGGGTATTAAAGTTAACGGCATATTTATTAATAACATCAGGTATGCCGATGATACAGCCATAGTGGCAGATAACATCGAAGATCTTCAATGCCTTTTAAATGATCTAACTCGTGCAAGTGAAGCTCGGGGTTTGAAAATAAATATCAAGAAGACAAAATCAATGATTATAAGTAGAAATGATTACCCCAACGCAAAGATATATGTCTCTGGAGAAGAAATCGAACAAGTCAGGCAATTCAAATACTTGGGATGTTTGCTGAATGAGGGTTGGGACCCCGAGAATGAAATAAAGAGCAGAGTTGAACAAGCCAGAAATGCTTTTTTGAGGCTTCGTAAGTTTCTGACTGATCGCAAATTGGACTTCAACCTCCGATACAAGATGCTTAAGTGTTACGTGTGGCCTGTTCTCCTGTACGGAATGGAAGCATGGACGTTAAAGGCCAGTTCCATTAACAAACTTGAAGTGTTTGAAATGTGGTGCCTGCGTCGAATGCTCAGAATATCATGGACGGACAGGGTCAGAAATGAGGAAGTACTCAGAAGAGCGGGCTTACAGGATAGGGAACTTTTTAATTATGTGAAAAGTAAGAAGACTGCATACTTGGGGCACATTATACGAGGAGAACGATACACTTTTCAGCAACTGATACTCGAAGGGAAAATAGAGGAGAGGTCTCGGACGTAAAAAAAATGTCATGGCTGCGCAATATTCGACAATGGACAGGAATCCACAGCTATGAAATGCTTCGCAATGCTGCTAAAATAGAATTATTTAAACCAGAATATTTAACAGCTCACCTGACAAGACGATGTACGGTGGACGCCTACGCAGAAATGCACGGCACCTTAAGAAGAAGAAGAAATGCATACAGGCTGGCCTGTCATTTTTAAGTGGGGG